CTGGAAGTGAAGAACAAAGTGTGCAGCACTGTGTGTGGAAGTTTTCCACTGTTTGCATAAGGGCATTCTTGGCTTGGTGAAATATTTTATCATTGTCAAATAGTACAGTGAATTAACTGGTAAACTGGTGTTATTTGACCAGTCAATAGACTGGCTTACTAATAATAAAAATATGTAATTTGAACAGATAACATTATTTCAAGAAGATAACACCCCAATACCTACCTAGGGAAAGAATATAAAAAAACCTGATCCATCTCAGGCTTTCCAAATCTGATAATCTACACCTAAACAAGATGAAGATGTGTATATCACACTTATTATGATCCATAACTGGTAGTAATAATTGCATATAAAATTGTTTTACCCAAGAACTTTTGAACGGAAGATTAAACTTTGGCTTCAAAAGCCATATTGATGACGATGCATACATATTTTAGAAGTGCTGAGTATCCAATGCCAGGACACAGTAGACAGTAGTTTAAAATTTCCAGCTCCAGAAGGCATAAGTTCAAAGCCTTAGTCTGGACTCATGTCACAGGATTTCCCCAGCTAATCCACTGTAAATGGTTATTTGAGATAGGGAGTCAAATAAAGCTGGATGGAATACTAACCACTCTATTCCCCACTCCGTCTTTGGTTATAGAAATGTTTCCTTCAATCACACTAGCTCAATAAACCATTGGGCCCAGGCAGATCTTTGATTACTTGGACTTTGTATCTCTCAATGACCTCAAGGATTCAGAGCTGTTATAAACATCTGGCAGGTACCCAGATAAGTATTTTTTACCTCCGACATTTGAAAGTGCTAGTGCTTAGTGCTAGTACGGTATAAACATGTATTATCAATAAAGTACGTTATATAAAGAAGTTTTATTCATATAAAGATACACCTGTTCAACCTTACATTTGATGCTCTAAAAACCACAAAACCCAAGAATAGTAGGGGTTTACCCACCAACCTTAACTGGCACTTTTTCATATGTGCATTATGGCAGGTTTTTATTAGGTGATCAGACAACACTAGACAAATAGTACTCCATGTGGGCTACGCTTTTCTCTGAATAGGTTGGCCTGAAACTTTCATGGTCCCAACATAGTTTTTTATTGAACTGAGCTCAGTGATTGCCATAGGATTTCTCTACTTTGCTATGTCACTTTATCTACATACCTTATTATAAATATGCAAATGAAATATTAAATTTAAAATGTCTAACTTCATAAAAACGTTACAAGAGGCAGGGATTTTTGAGGTGATACCTTTTACTGGACCAACTGCACGGTTGGAATAAAGTTAGACAAGCTTTTGAATGCAAGACATTATTCATAAGCACATACTAATCATGTAAAGTTGTATCCCAAAACAAACCAAGGAATTACTGTTAAAAGAAGGGACTACCCTCATTTTATTTACAAGGAATCTATCTAACAAAACATTTCAAACTGGGAAACTCTGGTATACAAAATAAAAGCTCTATCAACTGAGCTAAAATAATATCCATTGTTAGCCAACAGTAAGTTACAGGAGCACCATCTGTCAGGATGCTCTTCATTCCTATTGCTGAAAAGTCACCTTGGTTTCCAGGTTTGATTCTTTTGAGATGAGCTGGTAAACCAAATTTATTATTTCTCTGTTGCTGAAATTTAGACATTAAAACGGCTATCACCACAAAGTAAGCTGCGGAGTTATGGTGATTGAATATAAGGGGTAAGCAGTTCTTTCCATTATTCAAATTTCCAAGATAATGCACTCATTCCATTGTAAAACTGAACTGAAACAAAGTTCACTCTCATTCAGAATCAAATGCATTGTGAGGAATTATTACTACACTTCATGTGAATGGAAATGGGTGAAGCAGCAAGATTCTTCAACATTTATAAACCCCATGTGATTTGAAAAGCAAACAAAAATGGCCACCAATATTTAAAATATTATGAAGATAAATAAAATGACACTTCCATGTCAGATTTATATTCAGAGACAAAATGTTTTTACAAAACTACAGAGACAACAGGGAAGTTTCTAAAGGGAACATATTTTGGATACAAATTATCTTATGTCTGCAACTTTAACATTGCAGTATGAGTGCCTGAATTCAGGGGAAAAAATTCAGTGCAACTCCACTAAATACTGATTATGGTTTCAGTCATAAGCAAGCAGCTTATATACAATTATAAATATACAATTAGGGTAGGTCTTGGAAAAGTGATACTTACCCTTATTGTACATTTATATATTATTCCTAATTCTATAGTTCATTTGTAATCAAAGTACATATTTCTTTAAATCCTTCCACTTTGTGCAGTATTGCACCAAGGATGTCTCTTTGATTCTGCAATCCCACTAGTGGGACAGAGAAGTAAGTGGATAGAAATAGGACAAAAACAGAAGAAAGAGATGGTAAGAATATGTGAATAATTTATATCTGACATGATAATCTCAATGGAGAAGATGTGACCCTATTGAATAATAAGTATCTCCATGTGACAGCAGCAAAAAGTAGAGACATGTGAAGTAGTAGAGAATGAATACCAGCAATAATACTCTCCTGGGTCCTGCTCCTATGTACCAATACGCCATTTTATTTTTCAACAAATAATTTCTCCCACCTGTTTGCCATGTCAGGAAACACAATTTAAAAATCCAAATGCTGCTGCAATGGTAGCAAAACATAAATGGAAGGATAGTAGCAAAGTTACAAAGTCTATAAAGTGTTAATTACAAAATGCAAGATAACTATCCTAAAAATAGATGTATTGGTAGTATCACAATACAGGTAAACTGAAAACTGTCATATATTGTTACTGGAGGGGGTCAAAAGATGGTGGGCAAAACATTGGTATGGGAAATTTTTTTTTAGTTCCTTCCTATGAAAATCTGTTTTTAATTGTTACTAAAGCACTAGCCAAAACACCAAAGCATGTATTTACATTTTAAATCAAATTTACTGCTCTGGTGCAACTGCAAAACTCAATATGAAATGGATATGGCAACATGTTTTGCAAAACAACAGCCTCACCACAGAGTTCAGGGCTTTCAGATTTTGAATTTCACCTTTAAATAGAAAGCCAAAAGCCTTGAAAAGAGAGACAGAGACTTAACGTGCACTCATAATACTTTTATACACTACTAACAACATTTTTTCAAGCAGGAAATAGCAGTTCTAAATAAGTGTAAAGATCATTTAAGGTAAAAATACATTTTATAAACAATTTATAAAACCAATTAACATTTTTAGTGCAAGAAACAGGGTTGGTTGTTGATACTTTTTGTTGGAGCAACTATATAGGGCAAGAGCACTTTCAGACCTGAGGATAGGTACTTTTGTGCCCAAAAATTTGTCTACCATATCTTCCAATAGTACAGTTGATCCTATAAGATATGCCTTCCCCCCACAAAAAACCTTTGCACTACAAATATTTCCTCGACCAACATGACACCTGAACCCTACTGTAGCATTGTTAGTGAAAAGTCTGAAGAACATGTTATTTACTCATAATTCACATGTAGTAAAACTGTAGATTTTTCACAAGTATCGTTATTTTAAGCTTACCATCCAAAAATAGATGTTAAAACTTTTACTATATGTGGAATGTGTGTATCATGTTATGTCATTCGTAACATACGTATAATACAGAACACAGAATTTAAAGCAGTTTGATTTCTTTGCATCTTGCCATATAAATTAATTATCTGAATAACATTAAATACTTAAAATGCATCTTCCATTCAGTGCCTGAGGCTGCTTCTCATCCAACTCAAGCAAAAGCCTGACTGCACAAACAAAATAGGTACTTGGGACCTTTAGGTGAAGTCAAGTGGAAGTCCCTGGAGAACATGTACAACACAGCCTGCACTCCTCTATGAGAGAGAGAATATGTGACATCACATAATAGACCAGAATGTAGATGGTTCAACAATCACCTCAAAAGTTACACAGCTTTAGCCTTGGAGGAATTTGCCTAAATTTCACTTTCATTTAGCAGTAGAGTGGAAGTTTCCTTAGAAGTAGAGGGGGAAAAGGCTAAATCAAATGAAATGTCATTTACCACACAACTGTTCCTGCTTTCTAATACTAAGAACTTGGTTAGGGGAAGGGCACGGGGTAGGAAAAGTAATTAGAACTATTACTATGATTCATATCAAGTAGCATGATTAACCAGCACACAAAATGAATGGTGGGTGTGGGCAATGTAAAAAACACTTAAAGATCAATGGGCCCAAGTTGCAGCAAGGGAAAGTTAGGTTGAATATTAGGAAAAGCTCTCATTAGAAGGGTGGTGAAGCAATGGAAGGGTTACCCAGAGAGGTGGTGGAACCTCCATCCTTGGAGGTTTTTAAGACCAGCTCAGCAAACCATTGACTGGAAGGATCTAGTTGGAGATGGTCCTGCTTTGAGCAGGGGGTTGGACTAGATGACCTCCTGAGGTCCCTCTCAACCCTAATTTTCTGATTTTTTTGAGCAAATCATTATTTCCTAAGGACCAAGATGGCGAAGTGTATAAAAAGAGATAAATTAGCTTTATACAATTGCAAAAATGATTAAAATATTTAAAGTGATAGTTCTCTGCTTGGATTAATGAAAATTCTAGCAACGTACCATTGTTCAAATCCTTGAAATAAAGATATAGTCATGAATTTTTGCCATTCCTAAATTCCTGCATCTTCAAGCAGTACTCAAATGCTGTGGTCAAATAGGCACTTTAGAACTTACTGAAAGAAAAGTGTTTTGTAACTGTTATACATGTCATCAGGAGCCTGTGTAGGCGATTTCCGTGAAATAACACTCTATAGTCCTTTATCAGTTTCCTTCTTTAAAAGCTTAAATGAGATGTTCAACAATTTCAGCTTGTGTTTCTATGACAACCATAGCAATAGTGTTGCATTCCCACAGCAAATTTAGAACTAAAGTATCAGAACAATTACATCTGTTGGGAAGAATCAATATAGACAACATCTTGTTAGAAAATGAAGTTAAATAACCAAAATAATAAATTACCTAATCTGCTTCCATTCCTAGGCATTGCCATGAAGGAGCCAAGACTGCCACCAATAACACTGTGTGGTCGCCGTAAAGGGGGCTTCTTGAAAGATCCTGTGTACTGGTGGAGAAATGAGTGCATACTGTGAGATGTTGGAGGCCTGCCATTCTTCACGATAGGCTCTAAAATTCGCAAAGGCCAAAATATTCATTCCCACAAGCAAGTGAGCAATTCAGGAACATGGCAGGAGGAAAGAAAAAGAAAAAGAAAATTGTTACTAGGAAAGGTAATTGCCACTTTGTGAATGCATTACTTTTTCAATAGTAAAAACAGAAGCAATATGCAATATTATTGTGATTCCTCTACTATAACACCAATAAAAAACAAAATATTAAACATCAGAATGTTCACAAGTTTCATTTATTAAGATACATATGCTCTGAAGTTGGATCAGTAGCTGAATCAAGTGTTTTCTACAGAAAACAATCCCCCTAAAAAAGCCTAAATCACCAAAAGCTGATAAGAGGCCATACAATACCAAATATTTCTTTCCCTTGAATTTACTTTCACAGTGATGACTGCAGCTTCACTATGATTACTTATTTGAAACTTGCAGTTCCTAATTTGCATGAGGAGAAACTCACCAGAGAGCCTGCAGAGACTTGTCAGTCTTCCTGCACAAGCACCGTAAGTTCATTTTAGCAGAGGTCAGACAGAGGCCTCACTGTTGGAAGCCCTTGGTTGAATTTACCCTAACATTCTCATGGTCTAACAGCAATACTGGAAGCTGGTCCACTTAAGTAGCCATATCTATGAAACTACCAAAATAGCGATTTTGCAATTTTTCCAGAAATCACAATTTCAAGCAGGCTCTGCAAAAAAGTACGGGGTCTCTGCTTTTGGCAGTCTCCCTGAAAAAACAAAAAACAAACAAAAACAAAAAAAACTCACCGAAAATAAAATGCTGGCTCCCTGAGTACCCAGCAGTCCTTGTGGCTGCTACAGCCCAGCTGTGCAGCCCACTGGGGCAGGAGTGGGGTGGGGGGGGTTGCTGGCACGACAAGATGGCTGCTACCTCCCCACCCCTTATTGGCTGCAATGGCTATATGTCATACGGCCCTGCCCCTCGCCACCAGTCGGCAAGGAGAAGTGGGTCTGCAAAACAGACAGCCCTCAGAGCCGAACAGTGGCGAAAGGTGGGACCACTGGGGCCCCTCGGCCAAAGGTGTGAGGGGCCAGCTGCATTTCTCCTGCAAAAATGGCTGCCCACCCCACTAAATCTGCTGGCAGCAGCCTCGACTCTGGTAGACCCCTAGTAATACTGGACTCAACTGATCAGGTTTCACTGTTTATTTTGACTTTTTAAACGGGATAACCAGATGTGAATGTAGAACTTTTAGTAATAGAACCATTTTTGCAAAGCTTTTTATCATCAAATTACCTGATGCCTAGTTTTCACCTTCATTTTACATTTCCTTTCATTTTAATTTTCAGGAAACAAAATAATTTCAACAATTGAAAATTAATACACAAATGCTAGGAAAAATAAAAGGAATGTTTCTCTCAATCTTGACTTTATGGGTATGTTAACACTACAGATTGACCCTAGACCAGGGGCTCCCAACTTCTTCAGGATCCCATCATAACTTATTTGAATGCAGTGACACCTTTGGCTGAAAACCACCGTTTTCAGCTGGGATTTTCTGCCTCCAAATGAAAATGTCCCATATGACCGCTGCACAGTCAGCCCAGAAAGGGTTGCATAGCCAGCTCCTCCTGCACTGGGGCTCTCTAATCAGCATAGAGCAGGCAGAAAAGTTGCCTTATACTGTCTAGTTCTTCCTGGTTGGGCCTCCCTATGATGCTCTCAGAAACAGAAGTGGACAAGACAGTTGCACATGCCTCATGGCACCCTGGATGAGAACCACTGCCCTAGATGGCAGAGTAAATTAACCTATGCAGGTCTATGCTGTCACAGACAGACTGCTTCTGGTACTGGACTGTCCACTTAAAGCCAGCTCAAGTATTTCTGCAATACTGTACTGTAAACAAACCTGTATTTTTCTGGATGTGCCCTGTAACAGTCATTCACTATATCATTATACAACAGACTATAATAAAACCCCCATTAAAAACACAAATAATTCAAATTAGTGCACCGTTAATGGAGAAATACTGTGCACATGAAAAGTTTTTATTTCTAGTAATATATAAATCCACTCATTTACAATACATATACATATGTATATGTATTGTAAATCATGTAAGTATATTACCAGCCTAAGTTTATTACTGCCTATAAGTACATGAGGGGTGCCAGAGTGCCCCAAGGGATGACTAGGTCAAACGGTCATAAACTCCTCCAAAACCGTTTTAGGCTGGACATAGGAAAAAACTTCTTTACTGTCCGAGCCCCGAAGGCCTGGAATAGACTCTCTCCAGAGGTGGTGCAAGCACCTACTCTAAACTCTTAAGAAACATTTGGACACCTATATTGCTAGGATCTTTTGACCCTAGCTGACTTCCTGCCCCTGGGGCAGGGGGCTGGACTTGATGATCTTCCAAGGTCCCTTCCAGCCCTAATGTCTATGTATATGATCTTTACTTCATTACTCAATCATTTCCAATATAAAAAAATACTCAAATTTTCACAAAAATAAGCCACTTCTTCAACACACTTTCTGTCATACTGCTAAATATTCAGCTTTCCAGGGGTGGTATTATCACTGTATGCATTTACTGACAGGAAAATAGAGATACACAGAACTAAAGTAATTGGCCCAAGATCACCAAGTAGATGCACATCAACATATATATTTAGATATTACAGAGTGAGATGCCAAACATTCAATTTGAGTAGGCTAGTCTATTTATAGATTCTACCACACTTCATTTTCCCTTAACTTGGTCCATTTATGGCAGCTATAAGTACAGTACTAAGAGGAATAAATCAGATTAAAGAAAGACATTACACGTACTCATTCAGCAACTGAAGTACTGTGCTCCCAAATGGGAAAGAGAAGCCTGAAAGCAATGTGTGGAATCTTTATTCTCTGTACCAACAGCAGGGTCCACCAGAAAAGTTCTTCTATGTGTACTGTGATACAACCATCTGTGATGTTGTTTTGTTATCCTAGAAACTGATTCCAATCTCAGATCTGGAGGAAAGTACTTTTGACAAAACAGCAAATTCGTAAACTAAAGAGCCAGAAAAATGTATATTACAGAAAACAGAATTTCAGATGCACACACATACAATATAGCAAAAACTCTCCAACCAAAAATTCAAGCAGTGTTTTGGAGAAAATGACTTTGGAACATGAGGTTCCAACTGGTTTAATGGAAGAAAACAAAGAAGTACATGAATAGAGCTGGGCAAGTACATGCCTATGAATTAAAAAAATGAAATTAAGAAATACTTGAATTTCTACAAGAAGAGTATAAGGGCTTCCAAGTAGCTGCTGTAGAAAAAGAATTGTCTAATAGATCCTTAAGGCAGGAAATAGAATCTGAAAAGATGTCAGCACTGCTGTAAGCCTTCGCACAATTTTCCTCGTTTAGCATCCCCCATAAATGCAGACAATGAATGAGAGTAGAGAGAAATATGGGGGGGGTCTGTGTGCGTGTGATAAAAATGTATAAAGCCCTGAAGGTGAGGCTGTCCTGCCTATATCTTTACCTTGTTCCTCATCAGATACTTTCAAACCTTTTATTCCACTGATGATGTCAGCCTCCCACTCAACACTCATTCATCTTTTTACCTTCACTTCCTACTCCAATACAATCCCTTTTCTTCAATCAAATTAATATTAAAGTCTACTTATTCCATAAATCCTAGAAACATTAAATCATGTTAGTATAATGCCATCACTGAATTAATTTTTAAAAAGAGAAGTTTTCTGAATTCTCATCTCCCATTTCTCCCATCTTTTAGATCAACTTGGGACTAAACATTTTCACCTTATACAATGCAGAGTGGAACCTAACAGACCAACTCATTCAGAAACACAAAATTTATGGTAGGTGATAGCTTATTTTATCAGATACTACAAAGTAGCCTATTGCTTCTGAAAGCATATGCTTCACTGAACCTGTTCTCCAAGGTGCCTCATCTTCTGCTTGATTTCAGATTAATATAGCTATTTTATATAATGCTGAGTTCAGTGTGGGTACTTATATAATAATGCTAACTCTGAAAATGCCACTGTGCCTTCTCCTCCCCTTACCTCCTCCCCCTCTCTGCTGGCTTTTGTCAGGGCCTGGTGGCGGAAAGGCCAGAGCACGGGTGCAAGGCCAGCACTGTGCTGCCAGCTCCTCATGCTGCCACCTCCCAGGAGTTAACTTGCCCTGCCGTCCCCCCTCAGCCAGCAGCCTGTGCCACCGTCACCTCCAGGGAGCAGGGCTGGGGGGGAGAAAGTGAGGCCAGCAATGCTGGCCTTCGCCCTCCTCACTTCATCCGCTCCATTGCTGCTGTCATGACAGTGCTCTGCCATGTCACCACCACCTGTCTGGAACGCTCTCCGAGCACTCTGATTGGTTGCTTCAGACAACCAATGAGAGTGAGTATAAAGTGTTATGGACAGAAATACAGCCTAAGGCTTTTATAATATTAGAACAGATACTAATTCTAATAATGGCTTGCTGGATGGAATGAGTTGAGTGATTACTGGTGGCTGGTTGTCTTTATTTATGGTGGGTTTTAGCCATTAGAGGGGAAATTTGTGAAAGTCTTAATATTAAGAATACTTTTCTTTTTGTTCTAAGTTTATTATTCTTACAAGTGCACAGAACTTGAATGGGCACTTTTAACAGACCCAAAATTAAATACATAGTTTACTCTCATTTCCACTGTTTCTTAAACTAATTTCAAAACAAAAGGTTAGTCAACACAAGGTATAACTAAACTACCAATAAGCCAAAGATGGAGCCAAAGGGTGGTTTGGGGTGTATATTCAATACTAAAATAACTCCCTTGCCTCATTTCAGGGATTTGGCACATGCAGAGGGGGAAGGAATGGATTACATATGGTTCTCGGACTGCACTGGGCTCAAGATAGAGGTGGCAGAGGTGGAGCTTTTCAAGTTAGGACTGAAAAATGCAACTGCTTTCTTCACCCTTAAAACTAAGATGCAACAAAATTCTGAAAGTACCAAATACCCCTTTAGGGTTTGGCTTCAGCCC